TATATATATATATATATATTAATGAAAATCCCAATGACTGATTTTATTGAAATAGAAAAGGATACATAAAGGTTGTATGATAAGAGCCCAAAAAGGCACTCTACCATACGATACAAGTACAGTAATACTCTAACAAGAGATACATATAGACTCAATAAAATGTAAAACAAATTTAAAACATGCAGAAAACAAGTAGCTAGGGACGAGACAGTTTTGTCCTTGACTCTTCCTCTAGTTTTAGGAGTGGAACTAGATAACAAACTTTGAAGAATTGTGTCATTGCTAGGAGTCACTAATGTATCATCCATTAAGTTTCCAAGTTGGAGTGAGCCCTCAACCTTCTTCCGTCTAGAAGTGTAAATCTGTTATTCTTCATCTGAAGACTTGCTCATGTGATCCTCGATCTGATTTGATATTAGCACCACAGTAGGAGGAAAGACAGTTGTTGCCACCGCGATAGGTTTCAGTATATGTGAAGTGTGAATTGTTACCTCTGCACCTGATGCTTCCTGAATAGGAGCTGCGGGATTATCCTGATTTTTCAGTTCGAACATTATCCGTTGTAGTGTGATCAGGAGAAGGGATCTCAGGGGCAAACACCAACTCCAGTCTTGTGGTGATTCCCTCCTTAAGTTGACTGTCATCAGATTTGCTGGGAGCGCGTTCAGGCACATGGGGTGCACTAATAGTGTTTTCGTGTTTTGACTATTGGTTCTCAACTGTGGGTGCAATCTGAAACATTTCTTCTGCGGGTGTCCAAACATCTTGCAGTGCTTACAGTAGTATGGTTTTTGTTCCATAATGATTTTTTGCCAATAACCATTGTGAGTAGATCCAAGCCAGACTTCTTCTACATCTGGTAGTGTAATATCTCGTTCAATCAAAATTCTTGCAATAGAGGGTCTTGAGAAATGAACTGTAGGTAAGTCTACCTGCAAAGGTTTTCCAAGGATAGTCCCAATTGCATATAAGATAGGTAGGTCAAAGAAATGAAGCTTCAGTTCAGGTAATGAGAACTAGATAGGTGCAATTGGGGGTTATTGACAGGGATCAAAATTGGGGGTCCATTTGAGCAGCTTCATATGTTTGTCCTCAATTGTGATGAATTTCTTTGAGAAAATCCTTGTGTAATCATGTTTTGTGCTCAGTTGTATCATAACATGTCTTCTGTCGAAATGACCCATCTGCCAATCCCCAACCAATTTGAAATCTTCAAAAACCTTCATGATGATCTCCATCTTAAGGGAACCTAATGGGAACTTTCCAACTAGTGTAAATTTGTATTTTTCTGCACGAGTTGAAATTTCAACGTCAAAAAAGAAAATTGCTTGTTTGCCCGCATTTTTCTCTACTTTTTTAATGAGATTGCAATCATCATTTTCTGCAACAGAATCATGATAAATCTGCGGGAATACTGCACTATCTGCGAGGTAGAAATGGGAGCTGCGTTTGTGAACCACTGTAGCGTAGGAGGGTTTGGCAGGGTTATTACTGGCGAGCGCGGCGACGTAGGAAAGCCCTGAGGCCATTACCGCAGCCAGTGACAACCTGCCGCACAGTGATGCACGAGTGTCGAATGACTCTGCCACAGACGGCAGAGGCAGAGCCGAGCAGACCGGGCGGCTCTGTCGCAGAGGAGACGCAGCAGAATCAATTGGCTCTGTAGTAGACGAGTCACAGGCGAAGACGACCGCAACACTGCCACCAGACAAGACGCAAACGCAAACGCGAGACGTCGCGGATGGAAGCAGATGATGACAAGAGACGAAGATGCGAGTAAATCGCTAGGGTTCGCGATGGGGTGGTACCCTAGCAGAGCGGGATGGCGACATGGACGAAAGTTTATATATTATATATATATATATATATATATATATATCATGCATATATATATATATATGTGTGTGTGTGTGTAGATATATGTTTCAAGTGTCCAATTTATAACCCAAAATACTCAATTAAATTATTCTCAAAATTTCTCAAAATTTCTTAATTTGGCTAAAATTCCGAATCTTCAATTCAATATCTTTGGATTTCAACCCACTTAGAGTTTTCACTCTTTAGTTAGGGCAGCCTCTAGTTCTTGGCGTCATCCAAAATTGAGGGAATAGGCCAATAACGAACGTCTAGCTATCGGATTCTTCTAATGCAAATCTTGGAAGTGATGCAAATACATCACTCCAACGATTGTTTAAAGGTCATTTAAATTTAAAATTTTTCAAGAAAATTTGAAATCAAATTAAAGTCAGGTAGCTCTTTGGATTCATACTGGAGAAGGAAAGCCAAAATATGGGAAACTTGACAAAAAGTTAATGACATGTATAGAAACTTCCACGATATATGTAAATGAAAACAGAAAAAAGAATGAGGATAGAAGTCACCAAATAGAAGATTAAGGTCTCACACTAGTACAAGGAGAAGCTTCTCTTGAAAATTGTTGTCGAGATTTGCAATGTGTTCCAGGAGTTTGCATTCAATATCACATGTAAGTTTGATAGAAAATATAGAATTTTATAAGCATAGGTACTTTTAATAACCAAAAAGACTCAAAATTGATACTTCTCAAAATTCAAAATATTGCTAAAATTCCGACTCTTTAATTCAATTAGCTTTGATTCCAGCCCACCAAGTGAGTTTTAATTCTTCAGTTAGGCGGACAACCTCCAGTTCTTGGTGCCGTCCAAAATCGAGGGAATGAGCCAATAACGAAAGTCTAGCCATACTAAGAATGTCACAAGGTCAATAAGCTGAATAAGGAAAACTGACATTTGTAAACCCTCCATACAAGGAAACCTGATAACATCAAATCAGCCATATCCCCTACTATACCGACAACAACAAATATTCCGTCTTTTTCTCTCTCACCAAACTTGCATATCACCAACAGAATGATTCCCCTCATTTTTTTCAATAATGTTTTAATTGTTTATTTACCATGTAATGAAATGAGGACTTAGCAATAGGTAAGCAACATAATTTTTGGTTAGGTTTTTTATTTTGGTAAAAAACTCCATAATTATTTTAATATTTACGATTCAAACATTTTTTTTTTCCCAAAGGATTTGAACAGTTGGCCTCTTTTTTATAAGGAATAGGATATTTAGGGTATTTTTCTTCCTGTCATAGATGCTAGCCCCCACAATTTTAAAATTTCTAATTCTCAATTTCATTTTCGGTTTTCCCATATTCTGAATTGTCCATTTTTTTCAATAGTATGGAAGTTTATGCTGAAGATACGTAATGGTGCCATATTGAGGAGAGGCAAAAACCGATAAAATTCATTTTTATCTTGCATACTTATTCCATTCATCTAATAATAATTCTAATTTGATTAGCAAGATAAAATTTATTCATTTTGTATGCATGAGCAATTAGAACATAGGGATGAATGTAAAAGCATTTAAATGCGGTGGCATTTATATACATACCACTTAATTCTTATTGTTTTACATATCTAAAACCTAAATTTTTATTTTTATATTTATACACTCAAATCATTTATTCACCTAAAAAATACCAGAATTATTAACTTTTAGAAGGTGAAACACACGTTTTCAATCATAGGTATAGTGGTCTAAATGTAAAAAACAAACTTTAGGTGTTAGGTATATTATATATAGGAATTGTGTGGTATGTATGTTTATCTTCCTAAAATAGTTTATATGAAAGCATTGCTAATGAGGTGCTAAAAATATTTTGCTTGAATGTGCTAATGCTTAAAATGATAATGCCTACGACATAGCTAGAATATTTTTTTTTAATTTTGTTATGAAGTAAAATTGCTGATTCTGATGTAGTGCTATTGAAATGTGTGCATGCGGATGCCAACTTTATGGAAAGATGGTAATGTGCAAGAAAGTTGGCTAAAATGATAAAAAAATTGTTCGGTTTGGTCCATTCTGGTTATTGTATAGTTTGTTATTCTGTTCCACATTTTGAGAAATCTTGTTAGCATAGACAATTTGGTTGTGCGATTTGTTAAACCAATCGGAACTGAGATGAACTCGGTAATGTTTGATGTATCAAAGGCAGCAAACTATGGATATGTTTTTGTTACTAAAACAATTAGGAATGCTAAAAAAATTGATTTGAATCGACTAAAATTCATTCTGAATTAAACCGAATTAAATGAAAATCAAACAAATTCTTACATGGTCTTAAAGAGAAGTATATGAAATTAAGCATGGGATGGGATGTGTTCCAATGCACTATCTAAGAGGGAGATGCCCCAACATGCGAGAAACCAAGAAATGTGAACAGTGGGTGACTAATTACCCCATATCATCATTTAGATTGCTGGCACATCATTCCTAGCTTCCTAATTGGTATATTATTTTAGTATTGACAGTTCCTTTATCAATTTAACTTGTAGTTCTTCCATCAGTGAATTTTCTTGTCATATTTCTTTCTTTACTTTTTAATCTTTCAAAGCCTTTTAATAATCAAAATAAAAGCTGCATTATAGGGGATACATTCTCCTTGATTTGTTGTGCTTATATTTTTGAGTTGTGTGCACTTTTGGGTTTTGCTGCCTTATGAAGAGGAAGTAGTCTTGCCATTTTTTTAGGAAACCCTGCAGGTGGAATGCCCATACAAAATAGGCAGATGGATTAGTTCTGATTTTTTGTCCCTCAACTTATTTGCTGACATCATGTTAGTAATAATTGAACTAGTTATTGTCAGGAAGCATTAGCTCTGTTACTGAATTTGTGGAGCTTTCAGGATTGCCTTCTTTGTCCTACTGGATTTGCTGCAAACATGGCGTTTATATCAGCTTTAGGAAGTGTCAGTTCTCTTTTGGTTGCCGGTGGAAAACCTTCTAAAGAAGAAAGAATTGCCATTTTTTCTGATGCCTTGAACCATGCATCAATAATTGATGGCATTTGTCTTGCCAAACAACTTCAGGAAGTAGAAGTTTTTATTTATAGGCACTGCGACATGGAACATCTCAATACCTTGCTGTATGTTTTCAGGCTTTTTCTGAATTTATTTCTGCTACACTCTTCTTTGAACTCAATCCATCATTGTTTTCACTCTATGTTATTTTACAGGTCCTGCTGCAATATAAACAAAAAAGTCGTCATAACAGACAGGTAATCATTTCCTGATCAGGATTTTGCTTGGGTATGCTTAACCTTGTGTATAATTCTATATTAGTAGCCCATGTTATTCAATGTCCTAATTTAAGTGTTTTTTGAATTTATTGCTGGGAATCTTCTATTTTTAACTAATTTGTTCTAAAATTTAAGAAAATCAATTTTCTTAATGATCTTGCAGCCTTTTCAGTATGGATGGTGATTTCGCTCCAGTAAGGGAACTTGTTCATCTGCGCAAAAAGCATGGGTTTCTACTGGTGTTTGATGATGTGAAGCGCAACATTATAGATTTTATTTTAATCTCCAATTTTACCATGTCAGTTAATTTCATGATTTTAACATTTTTATTCCTTTCAAGGCTCATGCAACTCTTGTATGTGGGGAGGGTGGTGGTGGTGTTCCAGAAATGTATGACTGCGAAAATGATATTGATATATGTTTGGGTACCCTGAGCAAAGCTGCAGGTTGCCATGGTGGTTTCATTGCTTGCAGGTGATCATGCACGCTGCATTTATTTCCACAATAAATAAATCAAATAAAATTCTACCCTTCTTTTATTTCAAACCATTTTATATATTGATCGCACATCTCGTCACACTGTCTATTCCTGGCATTAGTCGATATGTGCATTATATTGTTCTACTGATGCTTTTGCGTGACTAGATCTTGCTGAGTTCTTAGTAATTTCATCATTATATCTTTGTTAAAGCCCTGTGACCATTTTTCATCTCGAATCTTTTGAGTGCTTAATTTGCTGCAATGGGGTGGCCATTGTTTTGATATTTCAATTTTGCTTTTCATGGTTGTTGAATTCAGTTGTGTTGCTTTTACGATATATTGTTAAATATGAAGAAAATTTCCTCCACATTAGATTTTAAAAGGATGTCATTGATAACAAAAATATACACCATGCCAAAGTCTTTTTAGTACTACTAAGCCTTTTTCTGAATCAACAAAAATTATATATTGATCCTCCTTACTCTCTTTGTACTTATCCATCAAACCTCTCAATAAATATATAACTTGCGTAATAGACTTGCCGACTTGAATCCAAACTGATTTTGAGAATTTTTGTATCTTGTAGTAATTTATGTTCAATCACTATCCCATAACTTTTAACATATGACACGTTAACTTAATTCCTCTATAAATTGCACTCTTGTGCATTCTCTTTATTCTTAAAAAATATGAACCAACATACTCTTTGTCCACTCATGAGGCATCCTTTTAGTCTTTAAAATAATATTAAAAAGTTTAGCAAGTAAATAAATTTTTAGATCTCCTATATAATTTCACACTTCTATTGGAATACCATCTGGTTCTACTCCTTTTACGCACTTCATTTTATTTAAAGCCTCCTTAACTTTCATTTTACAATTCAAAATTCAGAAAAAGAAAAAAAAAGAAATCCACCATGCTCAAATCATGTTAAAAGGAAAAAGATCCATCATGAACAAATTTTTTTTGCAGCAATTCTTAGTCACATCCCTAAATTTTCAAAATCCAACATTTCTACTTTCACCTAATACTTGCCTCACACCTTCCAACAAAATATAAGCCTCCAACTAACCTTGATTTGCAACCCTACATCCATCGAACACCTGAGTTGGAGAAAAGGATGTCACACTGCCATGCTGACACTCTCAAACAAGGGGTCTGAAATCATTCTATGGAGGACATGCAATGAGAAATTCTTCATCTGCAACAGAGACGTGTCGTCTTTAAGATTAGGAAATCCAATAAGATCACCCATAGTCGCAATGGTGACTCACTAGATTGTGTGGAGGAAATAATTTTTTTCTATATGAAAATTTTTAGTGATAAAAAGTCAAAACCTCGACAATTTGCATGGAATATTATAGGAGAAATCAGGAGATTGAATTAAAAGTGGATTTATTGCATTTTAATGGTCGCGTGGATTCATGTAATTTTAACTAGTGACTCCAGATAGTGGAACGGGTCTTTGAAGTTAAGGACGTTCCACCCGACAGAAGTGTAAAACTGGTTGCCATCAAGCTTAGAAAGAACGCTTCATTGTGATGGAAAAATGTGAAGTGCCTACGCCAACATAGAGGAAAAAATAAAATTGCAACCTGATCCAAGAAGGAATTAACGATGCAACATAAGTATCTACTAGCACATTACGAACATAACGTGATTTTGAGAGTTCATCATTTACAATAGTAAGATCTCTCAGTGGAAGTTTGGAATAGTATATCATTGAGTTCGAGCAACTTATGTTGAAGTGTGGGCTAATGGAGGAGCACAAGGAGAACACCATAGCTCGATATTTGAGAGTATTGAGACCTTGTAGGAGGATCCGAAATTAGCACATATCTTATAATGTTAATAACACTTCACGTGAAAATTGAAGTGCAGGGATGAATCAGAAAGACAAAATTTTAAAATTTGGATCACTGAACATGGTCCAGGATTTATATTCATCAGTATTTCTGCTGTGTTCTTCACCTATTGCAGGCTAGAACAAGATGGGTGAATGAGTAAAAAATAGTTCATCCTGAGCAAAGACTGAAGGGTGCCATTCAGATCGCATATCGTAAACCCGCCAAATTGCTAGCCTGGAACCATCCAACGTTTGGACAATAAGCCGATGGTGATGACAGGTACCAAGTAAGAAAAGGATGCCATGGGAATGAACCTTCTGCCACCACTCAATACCTCATTGATGATGATGGGAATGTTCAAATCTAAAGCTATCTCAGCAATTTGCGCTTAGATGATGCTAATTTCTTTATTATCGGGTTTAGGGTTTGGGAAGATGGGAGACTTGTATGACCTGGTGGAGGTCGCAGGCAGAGAAAGCCACACCTGAGGGGTTGTTAGTGTCGACAATAACAATTGCGGGGGTTCCAGAGTTGGCGAGGTCTGATAGTTGAGAGCGGTTGGCTTCCCAGCATCCAGTAGCGGTTGGGGAGGAGGTCATAGTAGTGGCATTTGATGCCTGACAAGCACACAAGTGGAGTCATAGAGAGCAAAGCTCTGATTTTAGACGAGGATGTTGCTGCTAGGGATGCCGAGGATAGAGAATGTAGCCTGCAAATTAAAGTAAGAGCTGCGAGATGCGAGGTAGGAATATAAGTTTAGGGTTATTTGGATTTATATATTTATTAAAGATTTAAGTATTTTAATCTTAAGCCTTCACAATTTAAGATCATGTGGCAGAGATTAAATTAAATTAATGATAGGATTTTTATTTTTATTTAGTTAGAATTTTTTTAACTTAATAGATTTATAATTTTTTTTCATTTTAATGATACTTTTTGTATATAATTATTTGGAATTATCTAATTAATTCAAACTAAATAGAGCTGAACAAAATTAAACACATTCTGGTCATTTATAAATTGAGCTTAAAAACTATTTATGTTCGACTTGCTACCTTCACGAATGAATTGATCATGGGCTATTTATCGATCCGAATACGAGTTGTTCGTGAATGATAACTTATTTGATAGCCCTCGCTATGACCCATGTGATTTTTGTGTATGTCTTTATTTATTTATTTGTACTTTAGTTTCTAGTTTTTATGCTTTTTTGCTCGTTACTATTGCATAACATACATGATTTTCTTTGATGTTCTGTTTTTCTCTTAAAATGACTACTTAAGATGTCTAGGACATAATTTCTCGATATTCCAGTTATTTTTTATCTGTTATTCCGTTCTGTAACATCGAATTACTCTCCTCTTTCCACTCTACCCAGTTGAAAAGAGCTGATTATGTTTAACAGGAAAGGAAATATTTTGGAAGAGAAACTCATTGCTTTAATACAAATTTTCTAACAGTTCAATTTAACTAGGCCGTGAAATTCCTATTTTGCGAACAGAATTCAATTTAAAATGGCTCACAATTCCAATTCAGATGGTTTGACTTTTAATGAGGTTCATGTTACAGATTAAACTGTCCCGTTTGTTTGGTGTTCTTATGTAAACTTATTTGTCTAATAGATTATTTGAGCTATTTTTAGTACTTTTTATATATATCCTTCCACATAATCTTAAATATAAACGTTATCAGAGATTTTTTGAATGGTGAAAACAATGATTTAGTTAATTTTTTGAAGTTTTAAAATATGGTTTGTCATTACTATTTTCAAGTATCTTGATCTTCTGGGTAAAAGAGCATTTATGCTGGGCAAATAGCCAGTACACCAAACTTCTGGTATTCTGCCGATAACAGTACTCTGATATTTATACTTTCAACCTTCTCAAATATACGTCCAAATTAACGATGCTCTTATCCTCATTATTGTTGCAGAATTCGATGTTACAATTTAACACATACTGAATTGTCATTTGAACCTATAGTGTATAGACCCTTAAAGATAACAGTAACTCGAGTACTTCGACTGTAGAAAAACATTAATCAGTATCATAGAATGCAGCTTTCTTAGGACGTGTGCTTCCGTGCTACTCCTCTTATATTGGTCTTTATAATATGCGGAAGGATGAATAATAATCTGTTGCAGATCCTAATCAGTAATAGTTCACGTTAAAATTTCTCCATTCATTGTGTAAAGTACCTGCTAGTGCTTGCCAAGTTTTTTTTTTTTTTTTTATTTTTCTTTTCACTTCAGAATTGATGAAATATTTGAACTTATTAAATTTTCTGAATTACAACTTTTAGTAATGAGCTTTCTCGTGAATTTATTTGGGGATTCTGCTTAAAATTTTTCTTTTTTTTTCTTGCTTTATCTGCCTAAGTCTATATTTTGTCCGTAAAATATATTCCTGCTTTGATATCTTCTTTAAGCATGTTCTTTCAATTAATTTTCCTTCATTGCGCTTTTTCCAGATCCCACAAGTTCCTTATTAAAAATCTTTTTTAGTACTCAAAGCTTCACTAAATATTGTTTATTAACTGCTGATCAGCAAGAAGTGGAAACAGCTAATACAATCAAGGGGCCGCTCATTCATATTTTCAACTTCTTTTCCAGTTCCCGTTGCTGCTGCTTCCCAAGGTATGTTTCTACCAATAATGTGGTCAATTTTTTACGAGAAATGATTTCTTGATTGTTTTCATGCTCCAAATCTTGAAATTGAGTTAACAGCTCAGTTTGATGTGGGAATTGATTTCTATCTTAAAGATTTTAATCTGCCAATTTGGGTAATCAGAAAATAGATGTAGAGGACAATATTTTGATGCAATATTGATAAACATCTTTGATGAAGATAGATCTCATTGGATCAGTTTAGTTTCATCTGTAGATTACCAAGCAAAATGGCTTGGCTTTTATTCTATTATTGTTGGCCATAAATTTTTGCTGAAGGTTTGTATGTTACGACTGTGCTTAGAGTCATGGAATTACTAAGGCAGAAACAAACGTCAGATGGTAGTGTCGTATAGGTCTAAAAATTATAATTAGCTAAAATAATCACCCAAACACTAAAGATCCTCTAAATCACAAAATGTTTAATATATGCTCAAAACCAAACAATAAAAACAATCCAGTTGTAACAACAATTTCAGTTAAAAATAAATAAAATAAAATAACTTAACGTGAGATAAAGTAGTTTCATGATACCTATTTTTATTTGCTTCCATTCTTTTATAGGCATACTCTTTTACGTTAGTCATTTTAGTGTATTGAAGTTTTTCCTAAAAATAAATAATTAAACAATTTGTTAAGTTTTACAATAACTTTGTAAAGAACTATACACTTAAAGCTAGACTCTCATGCACTTCTCAATATTTGTAAAGATGGTGCTAAATGTCCATGGTACCTTCATATAATCATGAAAAGAATCTCAGCTCTTTTGAGAATTAAGCGACATGGAGTCATATATTCAGGAAAAGAAATCAACTTGCTATTGGCTTAGCAAAACTCGGGGCTTCAATTAAACAGGTTAGACTCGCTAGTAATTCTTGTCATAACCTTTCATTTCTTTTGCATGGTGATTTTATGGGTATGCTTTATGTGAGAACTGATTCCTAGTTCTCCATTTATTGATGTAATACCTCCTAATTTTGATCTATGAAATCTGATTTTTGCTTTAAAAATAATGCAAAGTGAAAAATTTTAGTTATACTGCATGCTAAATTTCTAGCAGACGCTCTAATATGAATGCCGAAAGAAAAAATTGATTATCATTATTATTTCATTTTGTAAAGTTTTAAACATTTGCATTCTTTTTTAATTAGAATCTTTTAAACTTTTTTTTTGCATTTTATTTGGGAAGTCATCTTAGGAGCACGCTCTAAAATTTTGTATAAATCATACTACAACTTTTTCTATTTTCTTTTTCATCTTATTTTTTAAGTCATTTCCATTTCATTTTCATGCACAAGTATAATAGCATCCTCAGTTATAAGGAGGCGACTTCTGTGATACATTTCTTTCATTTGATTTTCATTTACTTTTTCTCAATTAATTAAAATATATATTAATCTTTTCATTGATGCATGAGCATTGTTAAAACATGTTATACCGTTTATGTTATATTGAATTTAAACATTCAATTTAATTTTGAATGCCTGTAATAATTTGAATAGTTCAAATAAGGTCCTAATTAAATTAAGAAATTTTATTTATAATTAAAAGAGCTGAATTTAATATAAGCGGAAATTTAGTTAGATTAATTTTTGGAGATCTGAGTTGTAATCTATTTTAGTTTATAGCACATATAAGCATAACCATTGTTTTCATTTTTTTTTTTTTTGTATTATTCTACATAACTTGTCCTTCTTTTAAATCTACTGTCCTTAAAATCAAATCAAAGTATTTCTTCACATTTTAAACTCACACCAGGCTTGCATATCTTTATAAATCAAATGAATACTAGTGGGAATTTACCACAAGCCTTATCTTTCTTTTAATTTGCAAATTGATGATCTCAATCCTTCAAATCATGCAATTTATAAAATTCTTCATTTACTGAATTCTAACATTATTTTCACGGAAGTATACTATTAATACTTATTAATCTCAAGTTAAGTTAAATAATATTGAAATTAAAATTAAACTCAAACTTAATTATTGTCTTCCAGTTAAACCCTCCATCCCTTTACTTTTTCTCTTGTATAGGAAATTTTTAGATCGAGGACACAAAATAATTTTTTTTTTCAAAAATTCCCTCAACCTATTTCATCCGGGCTTGGCACCGGCATTAGTGGTTTTAAAAATTTGTTTGTTAAACAGTTTTAATATAAAAAAATGAAAGATATATTGATAAAAAGACTTACAACTGGTAAGTCTTTTTCTTATTTGTCTCTTCTATATTTGTTGGTAATTTTGATATTTTGTTGAGAAATTTCTGTAGTTATAATCCTGTTAAAATAAATAATTTTTTTCTTAAAATTATAATAAACATTAAAATTTGTAAATTTTTAATTTAAATTCATAAATAACGACAACAATTTCAATTAAGTTTAGTATTGCTAATAATTAAATTTTCTTGTAAGTCTTTTTAATTTTGATGTCATAACACTAAAATAATAATAATATAAATAAGATAATATATCAACATGAAGTAATTAAGTGTAAATGAAATACTTAGTGAATTTATATTTCATAAAAATTTAACATGATTTGGTGATGGGCTCAATTCAAATTGCAAGCATAGGATGAAAATCTTGGGGCGAACATGTGTTGGACCAAAAACTGCAGGCTGCTACTGGCGCTAGGCAGCGGGCTGGGAGCAAATGTGTGTGAACTGCTGGCCTGGGAGCAGGAGCAAATTGGCAGGCTAGGACAAAACTTTTGCGAGGGGGAGAAGCATAGTACTATGGGGGAATTGGTATGTTTCAAAGTCGGCAGTAGTAGGTGCTTTCAACGATGGCAAAGTGGGAAAATATGTGCATTTCTGTGTGGGTTGGAACAGGATTTCACAGGAAAATCACATTTCAAGCAGGTGTCTACAGTTTCTACCAAATTAGGAAAAAATCACGATTTTCTTACTATTTCTACTAGCACATTCCTACTTTTAGCCTTATTATTAAAGTAAATGTTTGGGGCCCTGAATCCACTTCTGATCTAATTCCTTTCTAGTCTTTTGGTCCGTCAATTTCTACTATTATTCAGTAAAATATAATATTAATAATTGGCAAACATTGAATTAAATTAACTATTAATGAATTTAAAAATACACCCTCAACTTATATAATATTTTCTCTCTGCTAGATTGTCGCTTAATCCATATCTCGCACATGACTTTATCCTTTAACGCAGCATCAATCGGCACGGTAACTTAACCTATGCACAAAGTTGATTCTCTTTCCTGCGTGAGAAGTTTACTCTTAAACCCAAGCATGACCCCACCTCCTGCACAGGACACCGATCTCCTACAAGGAAGTCGTTCAGCCTGCTCGGACCCTCTTCCTACTAGTTGTCTTGTGTGCACAGTGTTGCTTATTCTTCCCCATGCTAATGTTCAAACTTCCGTGCTCATTATTTCTCTGGATGAGGTACACACCACTCATCTCACTGCTCAACACGTGATTCCTCCCCTCGCATGAGGCACTGTTGGCCACCTTTACTCGCTTTCAGTTCCTCGATATCATGTATTTTTCGATAGTTGCTCACTGATTCAAAAGCTTCTCCCTTCCATCTCCCAATTGGCATAGCTGACTTGTTGGTTATATTGATGTGAGGCAGCCAGTTCAAGTTATTATTATTATTCATATATTTATTATTTTTTTAGTTATTACATTATATACCAATGCTACATGAATGACTTTCTCAGTTTGCAGCTGCTCTTTTTGTGGCCAAAGAAGAGAAATGGCGCCGGGAAGCCATTTGGCATCGAGTGCATGACTTTTGTTCGTTAACTGGATTTTTGATCACGAGTCCTATAATTTCTATTGTCGTTGGAAGTGAAGAATCAGCTCTGCTGGCTAGCAGGTTTGCTTTTCTCAATTAGCAAGTAGAGAAACATAATATTTTTTATTCAAACAACTATAATCAATACCAACCTTCATGCATTAAACAGTTTATACAACCTCAATATGTAGCGCTGAGCTAAGTGAGCCTAAGTTTTACACTGGCTCAACTCATGTGAATGAGCCATACTCTTCATGTTCGGTTCTTTTACTTGTGGAGTTAAGCATGGACTGTTTTTGAACACAAATCTATTTAAATTCGCATAAAATGTCACTGCACATTTAGTTATTCAAACATATATGCATGTATGAATTTGTGTACACAATCCACACATGCCCACACGGATGCACTCATACACACATGCCCGCATGCATGTGCATGAACACCTATGCATGCATGCTCGGTGATGTGAGTTTGTCTGATGGGTAAGAACTTTGGAATTTGTTGCCAATGTCTCTAGGTGTATCATCACCTACGCCGTAATAACTCCTACAATGTGAAGTTTGGTGTGGGAAAAAGATTGTGCGTGTACACACTTTCTCAGGAGCTAATTTTCATGCCAAGTACAATTGAATGCAAAATTCGAAAAAGAATGGTTTGAAAACTTCTGCAAATCCTTCTGCTGATCAATTAAGTGTGACAAGTGTGTTCATAGTGATAAGCTGTTAACTCCCACTAGTTACTGTAAGTCTTTTATCACGTATTGTTCATTGCAGGCATATGTTGGTATCAGGTTTCCATATTACCGCAATCAGGCCTCCTACAGTTCCTCCCAATTTGTGCAGGTTAAAAGTTCAACTGACAGAATTACGAAGAATCACAAGAACTGTTCTTTGTTTTTTTTTTTTGTTTTGATTCATCGGACACAGAACACAGAAAATTTACAATGTCATTTCATTCCACTTGGCAGATTACGGATAACACTCAGCGCTGCGCATACATTTGATGATATCAGGATGCTCGTAGCTGCATTGTCTCAATGCATCAAGTTGCCCATTGTTGGTAGGGAGAATGACCCGCCAACTTCAAAGCTCTAGATTTGATCAGACTCACCATTTTTTTCCACCTCTCTTGACTGTATCGGGGAAGATTGGTAATTTATTTTCTATCAAAATTAATTAAAATATTAACAATGTATTAACATTTGTTCGGCTGCCCTGCTTATTAACAAATGCAGTAGATTTATTTTTAATGTCGGATGAGCTTATTTCGCAGCTCAAACAATGCATACTTAATCCTTTGGGCAAATCTTATTTTGTTCATTATATTATGGCCTGATTTGCCATTTAACCAGTCATTTCCTTTTTTGTTTATAAATACTTCAAATTTCAATATCTTTGAAAGGAAATGCTATGCTTGTTGAATTTGATGATTGCTGATTTTACAGGGACATTTAGAATCACTTTGAGATTGAAATCTTCAATATCTTCATAATACTTTTCAGGATTTTTATCAATAAGATCAATACACGCCTACTCAATAGTTTGATCTGTCTTTTATATAGAAAAGCTCAACTAAGTCTAAATTGTTTATAATATCTTTAATCAATTTTAAATAAAAAAAAATTATTTAATCAATCAACCTAAAGTACAGATGCTGTCGTAAAGGAATGATTGTGGCTAGTGTGCATTTCTGATGGTAGGTTGTGCTCTTCTCATGATGATGAATTGGATCTTATTTTATTTGAGTTGCAGTAGAACACCTCTTGACTGTCTTTATTCATAAATCAAATGAAGAGAAAGCAGGAGCTTGACAGAAAGTGATTAGCCATGCTAACGTATGCAAGAAGGTTAGCATAAAAATTAAAATCTCATGTTAAAATAGTTGGTCTGCATAATGAATATTGAACACCGTTTATTGCACTAACTTGTCCTTTCTAGATTGGGTAAGGCCTAACAATTTAGCATGGAAGGAAATTAACTTGCCCAAGAGGCAAGCTAAGTAAGAAACCTATCCATGAACAAAAGTTCTATATCATTTTTATAATTTTTAAAGTAGTTTAACATGAGAATCTCAAACCTCAAGCATTAAAGTTGGGCATCCCTATAGGTTCTATGTGAATGGGTCCTAGTCATAGAGTCTGAGTCTCCTATCAATGCAAAATTCACAATGACTAGCAAGTACATTCTCCTGCAAATCTAAAGGGGATAGAAAACATGGCTGATATGTGCAGTGGAAATTGGAGTTAGTAGTGAACTTGCCCATCTTGACATCCTCCATGCTTCTCGTGTTGAGCTCACCATGCTTACCCTTTATAAACGATGAATTAGCGCAATTATTGGCATTTAAGGACTATAGAAAAAGCAAATATAAAAATTTTAGTGTGAATTTCAAATTATATATTTAATTATTTCTAAAAATAGTGTGAGTTTTAAATAATGTATTGACTTAATTATTTATAAAAATATTTAATCATTTATTTCATTATTGCAAATGAAAAATAAATTATAGTTAACCTAAAGCCTTATTAAAAAATGTTGTATTTTAAAAGATAAGAAAATATAGAGTTTAGATATTGTACATAAAATTATACATTCTCTTATTAATTGAGTAATAGCAAGCAATATTGGTTGATAAGTTTAGCCTTGGAAGTTAAATAGAGAAATAAATTGGAAAGTTGGCATTACATTATTAGAATAAAAAATTAGTATAAATATTAAATAAAAAAGGAATCAAATATTGAGAATATATGTCTAAGTGAAATAAAATTATAAATATAAACTAAGGAGAACATATCAATAAAAATATGTTTGTATGTTCAATAAAATATTTGGAACTTTATTGGCATAAAATAATAATGGAAATAAAATAAATTAAATTTATAATTAATACAAAAATAAATAAAAAGGAATTTACTATATAACTATGTAAAGTCATATGATTAAAATTTACTTAAAAGTAACTTGATTAAACTTAATATTGAAGGATTACAATCTAATTAAAAAAGTTGTAATGTGAAAATAATAATTAATAATGATTATTAACTAACATAATTAATAATGTAACAAAAATAGTGGAAGGAAGGGGATGTTGAGTAGACGAAGAAGTTGAGATTTAAACATGACATGATGGGTAAGAAGAGTGGTATGGTTGCCCCTATTTCTAAGGCATACTTGAATATGAAGCAATTGGTGACTTTCCACAATAGGCAAATGTCTTGAGATAAGGTGTTAATGGAATTAGTTTTGGTGACTAGGTTTAACAACAAGTTGCCTATTATTTTTTTGTGCTCATGATGACTAAGGTTTTCTTAGACGTGAGAGTCACCCTAAAGACAAAGAGGATGATTGGGAGAAGATTGTTGTTGAAGGCAAGTCTTACTTTAATTACTTTCAAGTTCAAAGTACCCTTCTAGTAGGTTTTTGCCATTAATTGACATGTAGAGTATCATTTTATAAGCAAATTTCACAGTAACGATTAAGAACAAGTTGAAGTCAACCTATGACCACTTTGATGGGTGCATCACAAAGTGCATGGGCTTGCGATATGCTAACCATTGGTATGCTTCATTTTAGCACAAAAGAAAAAAAAAAGTTATGATCAATGGTTTTAATGATAGGAGAATGATGAGATTGTTGAGTGTGGGATGATAATTGAGGTATCTGAAAATTTAGTGAAATAAAATAAAGAATAAAGTATCATAAGTGCAAATAATTAAAAAAAAACTATTTTTATCTGGTTCAACCAACCTAACCCATGTCAACATTAACTAAATCATGAGCTAGAAATTCACTAAACCGTAGCTTTGTCTTACAAATCTCACTTACTTAAACTGAAGAAAATATTTACTACTTAAGTAGTCTCTTACATAGGTGAGTAACATCTCAATCAAAGTACAATAATAATTTCACTAAACTAAATGACTTAGACGAAGAAAAAGTAAGTACAACTTATTGTAGGTTGTACAAGCTCAATTTTTTTCAACAAAAAAACCTAAAAATAAATTGAGATAATTTTATTAAGTGTTCTTAATCAGCCTTCAATTTGCATATTAAATGTAAAGGTTGTTTGATATGTGATCTATTTATATCTTAATTAATGAATATAATATTATTGTAACTTTAAGTTGAAAGAGTTTAATTTAAATTTTCAAAGAAAATCACAATTTGTATTAAAATTTGCAAACATTGTATATTTTTTTTAAAATATGTATTAGATTAAAAAACAAAATATGTATTAGTTTGTTAGCTAATAGTGTCGATAAAGGAATCCAAATATAAAAAATTCAATCTGAAATGCTCAATCTAGTCAATGTTAGGTTGTGTAATATATAATTTATTCAAGTGGTCGTCTTACATGTTTATAAAACTAATGTACCAAAAGTATTTAATGCATTAAAACATCCAAGCATATGCTTGTTATCATCAAAATTAATAAAAAAAAATCATAGTGAATATATATATTCGATTAATTTTATGTTGAATAAATTCTATTTAGAACAAGTGTTTAATAGAATTTGTGAATTATTACACATAAATATAAAAAATAAACAATTAGAAGTCTTTCCAAAAGAGCAAATTTTTCATATCAAATCTCCCTTAGAAAATTCAAATGAATGGATTATCATTAGTTATATGATCTTAAAACAACAATTTGAATTAGAATTATATTCAGAAACTACACTTAACAACGAACTCATTAATTTATGGAGTTAAACCAAAGTCAACTAAAAAAATTTAAACTTTAAAAATATAATTCAATCCAAATATAAAAAAGTAGCACACACATAAAGTACTTCTAATATACATGAATTAGGCTTAAGACTAATTCAGAATCAACAAATTCTAAGTAGTAATATAGCCACCGCAGCTATTCTTGCTGAGTGCTGCAACTTAGAAAGATTATCCTCTCATCGAGATATTCTTGGCAGGATGAATCATACTAAGTGTAATCCTCAAGGAAATATACAAGAAGCTATCATAATTAATGAAATCATTTCAGTCGAAGAACCTTCTCAAACTGCAAATGAAATAAAATACTTAATTAAGGTTTTAACAAAACACCAATTCATGAATAATCCTATTAATTATCCTTCAGTTGATACTCCTACTCCTTCCAATAGTCAATCAATAGGAAGGCCTAGTCAATCTACTTCTAATGAAGCTAGTAAAAGTCAGGATACTACTATTATGCACATTTTCTACTATCAAGTATTAAACATATTCCTTCTTCAAGATCAAATCAGTCAGGATCAAAAATTGAAAAGAAAATATCTGAACCTATTAGTTGACACGGTATCTATTTAAATATTGATTGTTGTCAAAACATTAACGAAGTAATATACAAATGGGTAATGGAAAATAGTTAGCTATATATAATTATAATTTACAAGGTGAAGATGCCTATGAATTTTTAGAAAATACATTTACTGGAATTGCCAAAAAATGGTTTTTTTGGATTAAAGATAATAAAAAATGAAAGTACTAGAGATACTGGTTTAGGTGAAAAAACTATCAGAACACCTTGCAAATGACCTAATATTTATGATAATTTTCTAAAAAGTGAGTCTTTAGGATATAAATTAACTATAGCACCGAAGAGAAAAAAAACAAAAAATATCAAACAAATATTGCTAAACAAAAGATAACAACACTAAATATTTGCAACATTTGTTCACGCCATTCACATTATCTTGGACAAAAGCACTTTTGTTCTCATGAAGTCAATCTAGTTTTTGGTTTCTGGGATATTACCAATCAGCGAACTGATTTTCAACATTTATTTTTAACTGATGACAAAAATTCTAATAGAATTTTAGTAGGAATAGATTTTCTCCAACATCAGACTATTACTTTTACACACAATGTCATCCATATAGGTAACCTTATACTACAACGTAAAGTCAAACTTTCATAGCTACATTACTATCAAATTATATAATCCTACATACAAACTTATTCCTAAACATGCTTTATGTGATACTGATTCAGATATTATTATCTGTAAAAAATATATGTTTTCAGATCATATCCATGTACATATCAAATTTTTACTACTTGAAACTTTTAATTGTCTTCTAACTATAAATCAATATTGGACCAATCAATTAATTCTTATTCAATTTGCTCTTATTAAAATACCTAAATTATATTGTCTCTTCGATGATGGCCCTAATTTAATCCTTGGAAATAACTTTTTCAAAACCTTCCTCTCATTTACTTAGACTTCGAAAACCATCACCTTGGTTACA